AAAAAAAAAGTTTTCTTTTTTTTTTTGCTGGCAGAAAAGTGTTTTATGGTGTCTTAGATCTACCCTACTTTTTATGATGTAAGTACTTTTTCCCGTTTTCTTTTGAAAGTATGAGAAATATAACTGTATCAGAAAGATATTTCAGGAGAAAGATGTGTCATGATACCATGATCATTGCTACTGTTTCCTTTAGAGCAGGAAGGGATATTTGGCGTTTGCGTCTCAATTGTGTTGAATGGAGGAATGTGACTGTTATTCGGCAATATCCTGTCTGTTGCGTTATGTAAAAGCAGTTGCGTGTGGATTGCAATTAAATAGGAGACATCAATTTTGCAACTAATTTTGGGTTATAAATCAAAAAAATGGCTGTATTAAAGAAGATATTGCTTGAGAAATGAAAAAGGAGGAAAAATTTATTTGTTCAGGTAGTCTCACTTTACAAAGATGCAATTAATGTTAACTTTTTTTCCTACCCTTTCTTCATTTTTGAGTGCTAGTTAATGAATTCCACGTGGAATGCTTTTTTTCCCCTCCCTTTTTTTTTTTTAACTTGGCAGTTACTTGAGTGTTTTTCAGGCATGACAGTTTGCACAAGTCTCCAAATAAGTCTGTGTAGAATGCTTTAATGACTATATTTTCTCCTTTCCATAAGGATCACTAACTGTTGAGGATTGTGTGGTTCATATTGATCTGAATTTGGCAAAAGTGATTCATGAGAAATGGAAAGAATCTATTCTGGTCAGTAGATTTCTTAGTTATGAAACGTTATGCTTGCGCTTTGTTCAACCAGTTATCTCCTTATTTGTTGGTACGAACATGTTTGTAAGATGTAAATGTCTTTGTGAGAACAGTAGTAAAATATAAAACAGGATTCCGTAGAAACAAAAACAAAGAGCGAGGGGGAGGGGTCATCACGTACAATTTCACCAGAAGATTGACTAAAAATCTTGTCTAATAATTACTGCTTTTTGACCTGGAAGAGGAATTATTCTTTGTCTGAATTATTCTGTATAGAAAATGTCCCCATGTATGTTAATTGAGAAGACTTCTCTACCCTCACAGTTTCATGTCACTGTACATTCTTCCATAGCCTTACGAAGCACAGACAGACTCTTTTTAGACTTTTTTTTTTTTTTAATTACAGTTATGAAGCGTTAGCACTTCCTCTAGGGGCATGTTCCTCTAGTTTGATATGTTGTTGGAAATATGCTGTGTCTTTCAAATATTACTTCTCAAATATTTTTATTAAATATAGTCCTTTTAAAATATCCAACCTTTGAGAAATACTATGAAACATCATTTTGAAGCTGTTTTACCTAGAAGCTAACACTTGCTGCATTTTGCTGGGAAATTCTGTATTTATAGCATGGTTTTGCTATTTTTATTTAGAAGCGTCAGAGGAGAGAAGATGAATCATGCAAGTTGTTTGCAGAAGGTATGCTGTCTATTTTCCTTACTTTACTGTAAAACTATATTTAATTTTTTAGAACTTGAGTAAGGTTGCAAATATTCTGGCTGTTGAAAAATGTTAGATTCATTTATTAAGCAAGGCTTTTATTTATTGGCCTTGGTTCCATTTACTGTTCTCTTCAAGGTATAGAAGAGAAAATCTGCTAATTATAAGCAGTATTGCTGATACCAGGTAGATACAAGGAAAAAGTACATCACTGTGTATGCTTAAAGGGAAGCTCTAGTTGGATCAGACGAGTGTTTGGTAGGACAACGGTAACCTCTGCGAGCAGAGCAGGCATTGCTCCAGGCAATGCCTGGAGTTACTAGCAGAGTAAGATTTCTGAAGGGAGGGAGGTCAGGATTATGATGTTCACAGCTTCTTTTTGTCCTTCTCGGAGAAACTGATTATAGCAGGAAGGTACATGTCCGTGTTCAGAGAGCATTAGAACCTCTGGCGATCTCAGTTTCCAGTCGCTCAAGCTCCCAGGAAGAAACGTCCGTTTGCAGCACAACCCGCTGTGCGTGCAGGGGGCTGGAGGGTGGCTTGATTGCAGCAGAGGTGCAGACTCTCCATCTGAATAGCCAAACGGTGTTATTAGCATTAGCTCGTGGAAAGTGCAAGAGCAGGTTGTTAGGCATCTGTCCCTAAGTTGTAGAGGGAAAGGGCAGGCTGGTAAACATGAGTCAATAGCTATCTTGCAGAAGTGAACAAACAAATCCACGCCCTTACGCATGTGCAAGATGGTTGTTTATAGCAGTATCCTAAGTCTTAGCACTTGAAAGTTCAGTTGGAATCTAGTAGTTGTGCTTTTGTTTTACAAAATAGGCGAAGAAGATCATAGTCTTTGGAAAACAGAAATGAGTATGGTAAAAAAACAGTATATTGCTTTCTATTTTAGCGATAATGACATTGTTTTAACAAAACTAAAACATCTAGGATGGAAGAACTTATTTAACTACTTTCGGTTGTGCTTGTATAAGTTAGTTAATAATTGTTTTATTTGTCACCTCTCTTTTTATTGCTTTTGAAGGTCCCACTCTGAGTCAGCAGACAGATACAGATGACTCAGAAATGCAGTTATCTCAGAACACAGACAGTAAAATGCAGAAGAAAAAATCGAGCTGGGTTTCAGACTCATCTGATGATGTTCAGACTAAAAAATCAGCAACATCAGAAGTTTTTCCTTTTATGGATCACTGGAACGCTCAGATTCAGAAAGTTTCTCTCAGACAGATAATATCTGAAGAAATAGCCATGCAGGAGAAGCAGGATCTTGTATGTATATTACCAGTTTTTTAATGCAGTATAACTTGGTTACTGTTAGTGAAGCAGAATATGGCTTATCTGGTGACTCATCTTTGTGGTGATGATGACAGCTTGAATTCATGAGAGAGTTGTGTGCCAGCTGGTATTATTGTTTACTATAATACAGAAGTTTGCTTAAGGTTGATGTTTCTGCTTAAAAAAAAATAATTTAGAATTGTAATATTTTGAGTCACAAACAGGTTATGCCGAATTTCACTGTACAGGTTAGCATTTACATTTGTTTAAATTGTGTTTTTTTCGATTGCTCACTTTAAAACAGAGAGAGCTGATCAATGTGACTTTCTGCACTTCTTGGTGGGAAGGCTGTATCAAAAAGTTTAGCTCCATGCCTTGTTTGTTTAGAAATTGCTTTAGGCATTTTTTCTAAGGAGAACCCACAACATTCCTAACATATGAGATATTAAAAAAAAAAAAAAAGTTTTTCAGATTCATCTCAAGCATCTTTTTTTATACTGAATTCTGAGAAAATAGTGTTTTTTTCTACTTTTTTTGCTAGTTTTGTGTTTTCCATTGTTTCCACACTCTAGTTGGTGTGTGCGTATTATTGCCCTCTACTGGATGACAGTTCATAACATGAATTTTAATTTTTGGTAATTGTCTCTGATAAGTAGCTGCCCTAAAAAGAGGAACTCTGTTTTTACTGACCTAGGAAGTTGGATATTATTAGCTAATCTTTAAAAGAATGACTTGTGGATGCTTTCCTTCAACTGCATGTATGTGGTTGACTGATAACTAAAACGGCCACAGATTTATTTTCAGTTTAAATTCATGGAGCTTGGCTTTGTTTTGGCCTTTTTTTTTTTTTTTTAAATCTAAGTATTGGAATCTAAGTATTTTCTGAGTTATGAGGGAGCTCTTGCTCAGTGACTTCAAAGGACTACAAAGTCTTGCAAGCAGTGTATAACACAACTCGTCTGTCCTCTCTTTCTTCTTGTCAAATCAGTATGGTGGGCTGATACTGACTTGTTGTTGCTGTGGGTACATACCTATTGAGTAAAAATGTTTTGAAATTGTAGTAAATAACAGTGTAATTAGATTGGCTACACTGTTAATATATTTTGTTCTAATCATGAGCTTGTAATACTACTTCTTTTGTCTTCTGGGTAGAAACGTGTTCCTCCCATGGCAAGAAAAGACTGTGCTGCCAAGCTAAAGGAGAAGCAACTTTTTGAGATGTTTCCAACCATTAATCAAAATTTCTTAATGGATATCTTCAAGGATAACAAGTAAGAGATCTTTAAAGTTCTTTGCAAAACTGGTACTCAGTAGTGCACAGTTACTATCTTAAATATCAAGAGTTAAGAAATTGCAAAAGAATGACTTTTTCCAAACTAGCCCTTTTTTGTAGACCTAATTAAAGGTAAAGCAGAAAGGTCTTAAAAAGCAGAAAGGATATAAAAACTGTGTGTATACACTTGTTTCTTTCTTTGAGGAGCAGAACTGTTTCTCTCATCAGGAGAAGAATGTCTCTGACTGTCAGTGAATCTGCTTATTTGCTCTGGAGCTGTAGTGAAAATGAAGTGGAGAAATTACTGAGGGATGCTGACAGTGGGTGGGCTCACAGCAGATGGCATCCAGTCCAAGAGGAGAACTACCAGGGCCTGATGTTAGCTGCTAATACTCTCCAGGTTACTACAGTAGCTCTGAAGGAATGAGCGATCACTTCACCTCTTCCCTTTCTCTTTTCTGCGTTATATTATCAGGGTCTGTGACTACCTTCTTAAATCCAAGTTCCTGAGAACAGAGCTTTTGTTTAAAGAAACTTTTCTTCCTTCTTTCATCCTTGACAAGTTGTTTGTCTTTCTATTCATACGAGTTTGCATGCTTACTTGTCAGTCTTTCTGCTTGCCCAGGTTGTTATCAAAACCGTTCCTTGTGGAATGTCTAAAATATGTTCTTTATCCATCTCTACAGCTCACACATTTCATCACCTCTTGTTTTGCACCTTGTAATTTCTCTTCATAGTGAAAAGAATTTTCTTTCCCAAAATCTGTCTTTACTCTGGATCAGATTTCTTCTTGTCTGCCTACTGAACAGCATGAAGAACAAAGAAAAAAGAGGACTTACTAGAAATATGATGGCAACTGATGTCCTATTCTTATTGCATTAAATCTCATAACAAAGCTTGACTGGAAGCACAAGGGTTTGCCTGCACCACGGTTTCAGAAAACTGAGCTAGCTTTTGACTAGTTTGTACTATATAACCCTGGCCATGGGGAGTTTAAGATGAGGTGATTTATCCAGCACAAAAAGCAGCGTTTACTTCTAAACTGATGTTTGTTTGATTAAGGTGTGATGCGATTTACTGTAGTATTTCTGCGTCCTTGTGATATTCGAGTGCCCCGCAATCCAATCACACCTCTGTCAACCAAGACTCTGTGTGTGTTGATGCCACTAATGCAATGCAGTGAGTCTTCAAGATGTTTCGTGATAAACAAGATGTAAAATTCAGTTCCAGTGCTTTATTTGCATTGACATATATTTCTGTAACAATATAAAGGTCCGTAATGTATATTCTAATAAACGTAGCAGATATTAATGTATTTGTAAAGTTACAGATTTTACTTATCCTTTACAGCTATTCTTTAGAACAAACTGAACAGTTTCTGAACTGTGTTCTGGAGGCAGATCCTGTACAAACAGTTATAGCTCAAGAAAGCGTTCAGCAAAATGAAACTGTTCCTTTCTACAGCGCTGCAAAGAACCGGGAGAAGAAGGTATTTTTTTTAATAGTGATTACAAACATATCCAAAGTCATGTCAGTGAAAGCACTCTGCAATGCATACTTAGCTTCAACATTGCTAATTCCTACAGGGAAAAAAAAGTAAGGAAGAGGATGATGCTGTAAGTGAAAGGATATTCCAGGACTTTGAGTATCCACAATATGATGATTTCAGAGCAGAAGCTTTTCTTCACCAACAAAGGAGGCAGGAATGTTTGAAAAAGGCTGGGGAGGCCTATCGCATGGGTATGAAACCTGTGGCAGCGTTTTATGCACAGCAGGTAAATGTAAATATTGTGCTTTTCATCTAAATTTAGAGAGATACTTAAATACTGAGTTGGAAGTGATAAGAACATAATTTTCCCTACAACAGTTGATAGATTTGCTCAGTTACTGTTCCTTGCATACAGTTATATTGGAGAATCACCTTATAATTAAACTTATCTTCATTAGTAATGATGCAGCTAATGTAATCAAGTTCTATGTGAGACCTCAGGAAATGTGATATTTAAGTGCTCAGTCACATATGCTCATTTTCGTGTGCATTTCAATCCCCCTCTTGCATCCCCATACTTGCAAGCACCGAGATTTGTGTCCACACGCTCTTGTACACGACATGGAGTAAAAGAAACGTCAGCTGTTGAGTCCTCCCTCTGTCTCTTGGGTCCTTCTTGATTGGTGACAGTAAACTGTTTTAGAGGAGTCTTTTATACTTTTAAGGAGTCAAACAGATATCATGATCTGATCTTTTGCCTCAGAATCTTGCTTTCTTCATCCTCCATAAATCCTGGGCAAAGTTGCTGCCCATTGGCTTTGTTTCCTCATTTTGGGTAACTTTATGGCTACAGTCTGTCTTCCTGTTAGCATAATATAGTGTGGTATGCCACACTTTCTGCCATCCTTCTGTCACTGGAATGCAGATCTGCTGATGAGTCTTTTGTGCTCTGGCTGTGGAGCACTGGTCTTGATGTAGATACATTTCTTGATGTGTACTAGTTGGATTGCTGTTGATCATATTTTTGGTTATGAATACCAACTGTTCTTGTCACCCTTACTGTACATCGTTTCTTCTGGTGCCTTCACACACAAGACATTTGCATTCGTACTTCATTTAAACCACTCATAAAAATTCTGTTACAGCTCTCTACAAAGGCTTCTCATTGATTTAATGGCATTTATAGTATAAAAAAAAAATAGAAATTTGCATTTAATTTTATAAATTGCATCATGACGGAACACAAAGGTAGTAAATTAGTCACTCCTGAATTTGCTTATTATCTTTAAAAAGCTTTCATGCAACTTATATAAAATATTCTAAATATTTGGATTATTACTATACATATGTGAAATGTTGAATTTTTGTATCTTGTTAATGAACACCTTTTATATTCCTGATCTGTATGTTCTTGAAATTTGGGGAGATCCTAAACAGAGATTGGCGTAATTTTTGGATAGAAATGTAATTTCAAGTCCTGACTTATTGTTTGTTCTTAGACCCAAGACTTTGGAAATTATAATATATTTTCTTTTAGGTGATTAGAAGGAAATTGTTACCTTTCTTCATGAAAAATACTTTGATCTTTATGCTTGGCGGTCTTAGTTTGTCCTGGTAATCCTTTGCAAGTGAGAGTTATGGGGCTGGTGTCTCTGGTTTGACACTAATATACTTCAAATGATCCATTTTAAGAAAGTATAAGACAGACTGTCACTTCTCTTCTCTTACTTGAGCCTTTGCCAGGCCAATATCTAGAGTTCAGTGTTCCGTTTCTTTTCAAACTGTGCCTACAGATTTTCAAAGACATAATCTGTTGCTTCAGTCTCTTGCATACTATCGCTGCAAAGTTCATAGGGAATAGTTGGTAACGTTCATGCTCCTACAGTGTGTGATGTGAATAGCTCTGCACTGCTTCTCACTCCTAATTTTGATGGGGACGATGTTGACCTTGTCAATCATAAAATATCTGTCAAAAAATTAGTAGAGAGACTAGGCATCTATCAAATAAGTGTTTGCCTGTCTTGTCTAGTCTGATTTCAAGGGAATATGTTAGTAGAATCAACCTCGAACATAACACCTGGGCTATTTGTCAGTTTTTTGACATGATTTCATTAAATTTTTAGCTAAATATTTTCAAGAAGTAAAATACCATTTTTCGGATAATAATTTGAAAATCAACGTGGAGTATGACCTTTTTTGACTTTATGTAAGGATCTTACGGTTCTGTGCTTTTTCTGTGAGGCTTTCATTATAATTTCTTCTTTGTACCAGCTTTGAGTAGTTTCTTAAGAAAACACTTCATGAAATCTCCTTGTGAGTAGGTCTTACTGAGCCTCTTCAAAGTTCTATTGTGATTATAGCTCACAGTTTGAAGCAGTGAAATCTCAAAGCGCCCTGCCGGTACTGTCGTTTTGAATCTCAACAACCGGTGTGGAGCTTAGATTATGTCTCAGAGTGTAATGGTTGATGTGCTTATGAATAAAGGGTCGCCTTCATGAGCAGAAGATGAAAGAAGCCAACCATGCTGCTGCTGTGCAAATCTTTGAGAAAGTAAATACTTCCCTGCTGCCTATGAATGTGTTGGATCTGCATGGTCTCCATGTGGATGAAGCTGTGAATCAGTTGTCCAGAGTGCTGCAGGAAAAAAGTGAAGGTAAGATAAGCTAATAATTTTTAACAAAAAACCCGGCCCACCCTGTTGTCCTGATTCTCTACCAATAAGTCACTATGTATGGCAGTATCAGAATGTCTGGATGTAATTTAGTAACATATTAAAACAACTGGCTTTTTGTGTTGTTTCATTTTTAAAGCTCCCACATTGAATTGTTTCTCTTTGACGTGACAGTGATTCTTCTTCCCCTCCCTGTGTGTCTTTGTAAATCTTCCTTTTCCTTCTGTTTTATTCTGTTTTTTATCGAAGATTTGATCTGTCCCTTACTGATCTTCCTTCCTGACATTTTTAACAGAGGTGGTAATGCAACCGTTCATGTCACCTTTGTACTGTTTTGTCAAATTGTTTTGCTTTTCTAATCTTCAAAGAGAAATCATTATGTTGGAATTCTAACCACAATGGTGATATAGTCTTCAACTTATACGTGAAAGTGCACAGTTTGAGCCATCTTTCAGTAACTTTCATGTAGGTTTGTCTTAGATATTCCTTTTTTTCAATATAGGTTAGAGTTTATTAATTTGTATTATCTTGTGCTACTGCTAAGGTGACATTTGCATATTTTTAGCTGTAATCTAATGCCTTTTAGAGTTTTATTTTCCGGAAGGTGTGCTTACATCAGGAGTGCTGAATGTGGGGATAGGGGCTCCCTGTTCAGTCCACTTTCCTAATTCCGGAAAACATATATTTCAGTCTACGTTACATGTGGAGGGATCGGTCCTTACTGCTGCCAATATTAACAGTAAACCAATACAAAATCCAAATAAAGTTGGGCGAGAAGAACAGAAGATAGTTTAGGAAAGATATCACATGAAGTGATAATCTTTAACTGGCAGATCTTGGGTTGTTGTGAGAATCCAGTTTCATTTAAATTTTTTTTCCCTCTCTTTCAAGATCTTCATTAATTTAGGTTGTTACGATTTTGTTTAGGAGAAGAGGTATTTCCTTTCTTAGCGTGGATAGATACCCTAGTAAAGCTCATGTCATATATTGATACATTGATTCACGTGTTGCAACATTGCAAAAGTTAGTATTTTTGCAAAAAACTGTGTGGATTTATATTTTCCTCCTTCTTCCTTTCCTTCTTTATCCAGTAAAATCTGTTATTTTTTATTCACGTTATTTTAGAGTTGAATAAAGAATTTCACTATTAATTAACCACTTATGAAAATAAAATTAACAACTTACAAAATTAACCAACTGTGACATCCCCCTTTTTAGTTTTGCAATTTTAGTTATTTTATATTCTCATAGGTTGTAAATTCCAAGTGAAGATTGGATGATATGAACAGTAAAGCTGCTATGAAATTAAAAGGATTTTGTGATGATCACAATGTGCATATTGCAAGTAATCTAGATTAATCTAGATATTTTCTAGACTCTGAAGAAGTATTTAATTTTTTTGGGGCGAGAAGAGGGGAAAATGGCAATATGTATATAAAAGAAGCAGAGCCAGTGTGGGAGGACAAAGTGCTAAATCACTGGTGAAAGTTTTCAGAAGTATGGATAAAAAAGTTAATGCTGGCTGCCAGGTCTCCTGAGAAAAAATATTTTAACCGTTACAATCCCTGCTGTTACAGAGTACCAGCAGACTGGTGGTAAACCATATCTCTGTGTGATCACGGGAAGAGGAAGCCATAGCCAGGGAGGAGTTGCTCGCATCAAACCAGCAGCTATCAGATACCTCACAAGCCACAACTTCATGTGAGTATAGATTTTTGCTACTGATACCTTTTTTTTTTTTTTTTTTTTAAGCCCACCCCTAACTAACTGAAAATTGAAGTCTGTTTTGAGTACTGCTAAGCTACTAAACCATTTAAGGCAGGTCTCCTATCTTGCAGGTCCAGTGGAGATGCAATTGGATGACACAAAACTGTCTTGTAAAGGGCACTTATTATCTTTTTCTGAGATAGAGGAAAATGCTGTAAAATAAACTCATCTAAACTTGGTTTAATTATTTCCATTCAAAGTTGCTGACTTTAATGTGAGAAGTTAATTTTATTTTCTATTAGGCTGTGATATATACTTTAGCTCTCAGCATCTTGTGTGGGAGAGCAATGTAGCAAGTTTGGGTTGCTGTCAGCATGTTTGCTCACTTTCCTTTACAGCAATATGAAGGTGACTGTGAAGATGGGACTCTTCCCAATTCCCTCTCATTTTCTGCAGAAGAAAAGGGAAAAAATATACTTAGGGGAGGGAAGGGGAGGAGGAAAAGATAGAAGCAGAATGAATATAACCAAGAATATTGAGCAACTTTTTTTTTTTTTACTCTTCTTCTCAGTTTCTTCTGTTTACAGCTCTTCACCTCTCCAGACCCTATAAAATCCTCTTTCACTGTCACATCCAGAGGACCTGCTGGTTTTCCCCACTGTCACATGCACGCATGTTTGACTGAGAACCATATCACTTTCCTTTAGCCCTTATCAAACATATGGAGAAGGCATTGCACGTAGCTTTCACGTTGAAGCTTCATCTTTTCTTATTTCACAGGTTCACAGAAATAAAACCAGGCTGCCTGAAAGTCATGCTGAATTGAAGTGTTGTTATGAAGAGAAAAGGAGTATAGAAACTGAGATGTCAGATTACAGCTAAAAAGTTTTTAAACAACTGCAATAGTATTTTGTCGTCTGTTTAAAGGATGGTATTTTATTAGAAATTGTTTCAATTTACAGTAAGTTGTTTTGTCAGTGTGTTTCCAAGAAAATTTTAATGTCGAATGGATCTCTTGTAAAAAGATGACACTTACAGGATTTGAAGTCTCAGAAATGCAGATAAGAATTCTGCTGAGGAGTATATAATGTTTTAAAGGGAAATTAAGGTACCAGTTTCAAATATAATTGTCTTCTCAGCATACGCAGCCTATGACAATCTCTTGACCCTCACACATCTTGCTGTGGATGCTTTTAAAACGTAGTACCTTGTATGAAGTTGTCTTGTCATTTAGAACTTTGTGCTAAACCCTTCAAAAGACACACGGGAGACAGGATCTAAGCAACTACTGATATTTGAAATCCAGTGACAGTTTAGTGCTAAATACTCTAGGTTTCTTTCAAAAGTCTGATGTAGTCTTTTTCATGGTTATTTTGTGATAGAATAGGCCAGTTCTGTTGTCTTTATTCCACTGTAAACTATTCCTGCAATTCATGGAAGTTGCATATAAAGGACTCTGCATTAAGACTAGCTGTGTTTTAGGTGATTCTACAGACTTACTGTGATCCATTAAGAAGGAAAATGCAATGTTGTAGTTCCATCTCTACTTACACATAGCTAATACTATAATGTTATAATTTTGCAGGAAATGCCTCATTTTTTCAACATCTGTGTGATGAAAAGTTTTCTTCCATTCCCTTTTCAAATGGAGTAAAATGAGTACCTTTTCATTTTATAGGTGTTTGTTTGTAAGTGATGTCATTTTTAGTCTGTGTGTATTGTATTTGGTACTGTCCTCGTAGAAAATATGATATTTGTCTGCAAGACATTTTAAATGTATTTTTAACATCAAAATGAGTGCTAATACTACAGTAGTAACTAACTGGAAACTCTGGGAGTATAGAAGTTATTCTACTGGTGATAGTATCACATCAGCATCTGGAAATACCTATTTTAAAAAAAACAATTAATATGAGAACTTGTACTTCGGCAAGTGTTTCCAGGAAGCAGTCAGAACATTTATTTTCATAGAACTGTCTTCTAGAATGCATTACTTCTTTAATAATATATTTGGCTGTTGGAAGAGTTCTTTACTATAAACTATTTAGTTTTTAATGTAGGGCTTTGTTGTTCAGAACAGATATGAGTTATGTATTAGGAATAATAATAGGTTGAGGATTAATGGGAGGGATTTTAACTTTTAAACCACTTTTTCAATAAATCTTATGCAGGAACTACATGCACAGAGAATTTGCATATGAATCCATATGTGTGTGCAAGTCCTGCCATTTGTGTGAATAGGTAGTAATAAGCAAGGAACTTCTGTGAGAAAAGCTGTGTACAGAAATAGACTTCCCTTAACGTGTCAGAAAAGTTACTGACAAAGTGAAGGACATGATGTTTCCTGAATACCCTTATTCACTGTAATATATACACAGTGACTGGAATGTATGGTAGACTTAAAAATGAGCTTATATGCTTTAACAGATGAAATAATCTTTCTGCAGTGATTTCAAGTGGAAGAATAGCTTGAATAATATTTAGTCAAAGGGGCTCTTACTACAATAATAGACTTTTGTCATAAGTTTTATATTTTCTGTGGGTACTTAATTCATCCACACTTTGTCCCTACTCTTTTTGTTTCTCTCTGGGCTGCTCGGGTAAGCAGTGTTTGAAATAAGAAAGAACTGTGCTCCGCGAACAGTGCTAGCAGACCTCTGTTTGTGCCATTGCATGCTGACCTGTGTGGTGAAGCCTGTGCTCCATCCTCTGTCACAGTACCTAAAATGGACTGAGATGTCATTTAGGTATTTAGACTCAAGGCAGCAATTCAGACTATCTGCTGTCCTGGATTGCAGATGCTAGAATTGCCTAAATGGAGCTGGGATCTTTGTTTTGGGCAGAGAATTTCCCTCTATTCCTGAAGAGATTTCCTGAGTGCTTTCTGTAATGAACGGAGGTGCAGCTCTCTGGGGCACCTGTTTAAAGTGTATTGTGCATAGTCCCTGTTGGTTGGCCTGGATGACTGGGTCAGCAGAGGTCCCCCAGTATGCTCAGAAGTGTCGCATGTTGAGCGCTACTGTGATGCACCTGTGAGCAGGGAAGAGTCTACACTTCTGCTTGTTCAGCAAGGGGGCCTGATTCACTCAGCGTGTTCAAGTCACGCCTGACATGGACAAAGACAGCTTAGATTTCAGTTCAAAAGACAAGTTGGGAAGTTGTTGTCTTGCCCATCTGTTCATCATAACCTAGTTGCTAACATGCTTACCCTGGAGGTGGCAAAGACAGCTTTTTACCCTCTTCTGGCTTAGGAGGGGGAGGACGATCGCACTTGACTCTCACCTCTGCAGAAAATGCCCTAACCGGTGGGCTCAGGGGTATTCTTGAAGATGCCACTTTCTGAGCCTCTTTTGAAAACTGCTACTGGAAGCTAAACATGCAAGATTAAGGGATTAAAGAGATTAAAGAATGCCAACTGCATAGGCGGTCTCTGAAACGGGGACTAGGACTCTTAGAGAAGCTTTTCCCACTGAGCTTCAGATCCCCTCCCTCATATTATTTCCTCTCTTTAGCACTGTTTCCATAAATGCATAAAGAACGTTGAGAGCAAAAACCTCAGCACCACCCCTTACTGTGGGAGTTTTCTTCTATCTGTCAAAGTCAATGAGGAGCACGTAGCTTAAGACCAATTGGGAGTATTTCTCTCCCTCCCTCCCTCCCTCCCTCCATCATCCTTTTGGGTACTTGTTTGCTTTCACTAAGGTGCTCTGAATACCTGGTTATAGATTTATTAGTAAGCACTGCATTTGCTAAATTGAACAGTTATGAATTGCTTGATTACGAGCTGAATTTAGATGAAGGATTATGATTTAAAATCATAATGCAGGCAGAACCAATCCTGACTTGGTTGAAATTAGAGGCAGAACCTCCATCAGCTTCAGCAACTCAGGATAAGGCACCGCAGTTCCAATTCAGAGAAAGTATGATGAGCTCAGCCTTTTTGTTTAATGGGACTTCAAGTGTGTGCTTAAAAGCTTTGCTTAGCTGGGTACACGATGGAGCAGATTGCACAGAGAGCAAGTAGGTTTTTATTATTAAGAATCTCCATGCCTTTAAATACTTGCCGAACTATCCAGAAAAAAAACACTGGAATTTTTATAGTTAGTTCTATTTATAATGTACGAATGGATGAACTGTTTCAAATATAATTGTTTGAAAATGTTATTTGAAGGTATGTCACATTTTAGAACTTACAGCCTTTCTGATGTCTTTTGCAGTAAAATCAGTGAGAATTCTGAGGTATCAGGTAAATTTCATATTTTCTTATACTTTTAATTGAAAAGAGCATATAGCAGTATTGTCACCAGCACTCTGAAACAATATGCGACTCTTGATACCTGTTCTTGTATACTACTTTTTATTCTTCAAAAGCATGTGTTTGTGATGGCTGCTAGTCTCTAAGGTGACTTTTGTTTTTTAAAATATACATTTTAACATTCAGTCCAATTTTTAAATTACTATCGTTTTTTTGCTAAGAATGTCTAATGCTAACGCTAGCATTGATCAGTAGCCCTACAGTTGAAAAAAACAACCACAAAAACAAAACAACCCACAGGTGCAATGGCAAAAGTTGTTCTCCAAAGAGATGTATATGTTTTAATTTTTTATATATATCCATGTTTCCATTGATTATGAAAGTAGTGAAGCAAAAAGTAATTTTAAAAGATTTTAAGATACCTTGATAATACTTTAATATTTTGGGGTCTTGTTATAATAGTATGTGGTTCAATTTCTTTTAAACTTAGTGTTTTTCTTGGCCTGCTGAAGGACATCTCAGGCAAAGTGCAATTGGCATTTTTTGTGGCTGTTGGAAAGCATTATGACTTGGGAATCCGCATTCCAACAATGTCCAGATGCCAATGTCTAACCTAAGAACATCATTGTAATAAGTATGCATAAGGTCAGGGGAGTTCTCTGCATGCTCCACAGAACGTGTATTCTACATAAGGTTTTACGTGAAGATGTGAAATGTAACCAAGTTACTATTTAGTCTTGCCACAGAATATGGTGGGTAGATAAGAGAATAATCTCATTGTTGGTAATAGCAAAGAAGGATCATCATAAATGTACTATGATAAATTATACATAGACTTTACATTACTGATGCTTTTGTTTTCAAATGCAATTCACACTTCGGAAAAATATTGCCCTAATTGCAGAGATGAAGAGAGGATAGAGTATGAACACTGAAAAAGAAGTTACTTGACTCACCACAATTCCCGAGTATCCTGAGTATTAATTTCTCTTAAAAAAAAAAATAAAAAAACAAAACCCAGCTGATTATGTTATTTCAGCTAAATAAACAGTACTGAGTATAAATGACTATGTATGTGAATATGCATGTGAAAAAACACAGTATTGTAGCTACCAGTTGTAAAAGCTGTTAGGACCAGTACATTGGAGAATATCAATGTCTATTTTTAAATTAAAATGAAAAATGATTTTTTTATTTGTATAAAATTGTAGTTTTGCTGTTAACTATAACTTTCATTTTTTTTTACTGGAATACAATTTTGTAATTTGCATTTAGAATTTTTAATGTCAAAAGGAATTTACAGGATCTAGTTTAATAAAGGAATTTTACCACAAGTATAGCCTTCTGTCTTTCCTTGGAAGACTACATTTCAGCTTGTATCAAGTTTTATCTTGGAGTTCTGCATGAAAGCCACTTGTCTTGACTTCAGGATACCATCTGTAGAGAGATAAAGCAACCATCTGCAGGTGTAAAAAGGAACAGATTTGTGGCCTGATTTTAAGTGATGCGAGTGGGAGCTGAATGCTCACATTACTGAAAATGAGGGTCTTGTTTCAGATTTTTTTTATGTGAAGTTGCTGATGAGAAGCTGCTCAGGAGCAGCTTACTTGTGGCAGAGGGAGGGCAGAGGTATACGTGAAGGGAGGAGTAGCTGGGGACATGGGTGGGGAGAGATGTTCTTGGTAGACTCATTCAGCAGATACCTTAGGTCAGATGCAGTGATTAGGTCGGATCCTGTTGTAAATTGTATATGTATGTGCTGATCCAATGCAGGTATTCCTGTGTCATATTCCTGAAACTATGGAAAGACACCTGAGAACGAACTGCTGGCTGAAGTCCAGCATATTTTATTAGCTGAGGCTAAGGACAACTGGCTTGGACCTGAGTTAACTCCTGCAGATGTTTTCTGTGACTTTGAGTTACAGGTTGGCTATGGTGCAGCAACAAGCCAGCTTTGTGTGTTTGCACAGCAAAACCCTAACTAAATAAGCTATTTGAGTGAGTAGGAAAATAGGATTTGGAAACGTGTTAAAGCTTGGCACGTGCTAGCTTAGTTCTGGCATGGCCAATACTGAGCCACAAATAATAAACTGCAGAATCAGTGAATGTATAGTTGGTTGTGTGCACACTATTTACAGACACCCTGTTTTGGCAGTGTGGTTCACGGTCCAGCTTGGGGATTATTCTTTCAAATTGCACTGTTATAAAGTGGAAATGCTGCTCCTAGACCTACTTTTTCCTTGGAGATGATAGAGTAGTGTTGATAGAGGGCTAACCTGGGAGCCCTGGTTTGACTCATCCTTGCTAAAATAGTCCAGTCCAGTTGCAGTTCATGCCCCTCATTAATATACCTGTTTAGTCTTTGTGTTCCCTCTGTGTGATGGGCAAGCTCCTAACTCCCCTACACTAGCACCTGGGAGTTTTCTCCTTGATGATGCTCTGGAGATTAATTAGAAATAAAGGCAATGTGTAAGGCAGACTCTGCTCCTTGCTGAGATGCTTGGATTTGGGTGACTGAAGTGCAGCTGTAGAAGACCACCTTAGTCCTAGCGTGTGGCTTGTCCAGTATAGACGGAATCTGTGAGAAACACATCTGCTGAAATAGGAAAGGTCTCCACAAAGACTGAGTAAACCACAGTTCTCTAACTGTTCATAACTCTGAAGAACTTAGCTTTGGCAGAGGAGCCATATCTTTTTCCTGCCAAATGGCAGGTTCTTGCTCTGAAGTGTGGCAGTGCTATGGCTTTTCAAAGCAAAAAGTCCCCTACTCCCTTTTAAAGCAGGGGAATTGGAGTATTTTAACCTGTCCTTACTTGTGGAAGTGATTTGCAACTTATGGCCGAAAATTTAAATGTAAATAAAAACTTTGCTTGAGGCAAGCAACTGGCACAGAAAATTTCAGCCTGAATCTTTAAAGAGTCAGTTAAAGGTGGCATCTCTTGGGATGTGTAAGATATCTTGCCGATAGGTGGTGCCATTGCCAATAGCATAGAGCGAGAGTGGTAGGAGTTTTCACTTTGCCTTCATCAGAGCTGTTTCTGAGTATGAGGTGCTATGAAGGATGTTATGAGACATCACATGCTCTTCATTTCTTCCTCAGAGGGAGAATACTGTATTCAGAGTAGTGTTTTGGTGGCTTTTTTTTCCTTTTTCTACAGATGGGTGGAGTAGGGTTTGTTTTCGAAAAGCACTTGCTGCTCTGTGCTAATGTTAAGATGGGCAAGACAAAGAAGTGCACTTTGCACTAGATTTGAGGAGAATGTGGCTAGGGTTGCTCCTTTAGCTGCACTGTGCTGTTCTGTGCAGGTTGGTTGTCCAGATACCGGGACAAATAGCTGTCAGCCAGTTTGGGGACTGACGTGGAAAGAGGTTATGCTGTTTGGTAATGTCCTGTGTCCCTGTGGGTATTGCTCGTGGCAGGTGCACAGGTAGTGAGGAGCTTTCTTGAAAATCCACGGTGAGAGGGGATCCTCTTGATGTTGCCTGGCTTTCTGCGTCGGGGGACTTGGCTGGCTAGCTGTTTCCTCGTTAATTGCTACCATTAATTATCCAGGATAGATCAGGAGGTAAAGTTCCCTTTCTCCTACAGCTTGGGTGGCTTCTACATGGCCAGTCTTGAGGACTGGCTTGGAAACGCTTTTTCTTACATAGGGCCTGTAGTTGTTCTGAATGAGAGTTATGAGCTTTGACTTGTTAGGAGTGTGGCATTTGACAGCTGTCTTGCCTCATTGCCCTCAGGAAGGCCTTAATTCTGAAATTCATGATGCCCCTTTCTCCTCTCCACCCTTCCGCTACATCCAAGAGTCTGTCCTACCTTCTAAGCTGGCCTGCCCTGTGTTCCAGGGTGCTGGTGAGCCCTCAGGACACTGAATCAGGTCTGTAGCCTCTTTCCGCACACCTTGATGGAAAATGCATCAGGGAGATAGCGAGGGAAACTACAGGGCATGGAGACACCTTGTAAGAATCTTGTGTGGAAATGCCTGATCTGTGGAGACACGTGGATGGGCCATGTCTCCAGGGGCTATTGCCAGATGCAGGTACAGTGCCTGGAAGAGCTGTGGCCGGCAACTGGATCTGGAGGTCAACTTGCGACCAAGAGCCTGTGGCTCTGTGTTAGGTGAAGAACAGAGGCATCTCATGGCATGTGGGTAGAGGAGGCCTCCTATTGAGGAGGGTGGTTGGTGGCACAGGGTACACGCAGTGGAGGTGAATTGAGAGGAAGGCAGATGCTAGAAGGGATGTGCAAGAGCTGAGAAAAGTATCACGCAGTGCGTGGGTGGTGTGGTCCAGGAGACCCTGAGGCACTGCAAGATGCTGGGGTAAGGTGCCATGCACAAGGAGGGCCGCTACTGCTGGGGCAGCCTGTTTCCCCCAGCTCCAGCACTGAGGTGTGATGTATCCAAACCGACATCTCAAAGCAGACTGTACCACAGGGATACGCTATTCAGAAGTGTTACCGAATTAACTGTGTGTGGTCAATAGGGCTCAGCATCCTGTGAGTAACTGCATTCAGGTTTGGGGTTTTCTTTTAGTTTTATTTATGTAGTTTCCATATTTTAAGAGTTCTACAGATGTTTTGGCAAGAAAATTATGTTGTAGACATTACGGGGCGGGGTGGGGGCTTGCAGTTTTGGCAGCTTGTTGGTGAACAAATGAGGCTTTTGGCATCCACTTGGAGACAAATGTCTAGGCAATCTCTGAAGCTTTGGGGTTGGATAAAGGCAGCTGTGTGTCCCCAGTGCCACCAGAGGTCCCCATGGGCTGAGACTCTTGTGCTGTCATGTGATGTGAACTTCAGCTCAAGCTGCAAAAACAGAAAGAACTGATGGGAGGCAGAGGGTAAAAGCCACCACCTTGCTTTCTGCCCTATTGTCCTAAGCTGTTTTCTGTTCTCCATCATGGTGCTGGGTCTGAAATCAGATTTGTACACTCCTTCTGAGTAGAAATGGTTTTCATATGGCTTAGAAGGTATTTAACATGACTTGGGGTGTGCTAAAATAATAGCAAAATATTAAATACTGACTCGTTTCCTCTGTCAGATCAGGATCTGATATCTGCTATTTTCTTTGGACATTTGAGCGGGGCACTGTTTCTATGATGACTGGTGTTTCTATGAGCAAACATGGTAAGCCAAGGGATGGGACATTATTATTTTTGTATTACCTTGAGAAACAGGACCCTCCTACTTACCCTCCATGAAATACAGTCACGAGTGGTAGTGTCCACTGGACAGAAGCATGAGCAACTGAAATCCTCTGCATGTGCTCCAAACTTCACCCATTTATTTGTTCAGTCTATAAATGGCAGGAATAGCGCTCTTGTCGGCTCAGGCTGTGGGAGGTCTGTGTTACAGTGCTTGCTCTGATTAGGTTAACTTGTGAAGCATTGTCTCAGATCCCACCTCTAAATCAGGGTAGAAGTAGTCTTCCTCGCCTGTGTCTATCTAGCCTTTCCAGATGATCCTCTTTTACTGGCTGTGCGGTGCCATAGAGGCAAGCCACAGGAGACTGGAAGCTTAAGCTTTTCAGTATTTATCAAAATAACCATATAAAGTCATCTACATTGCAGAGAGAAGAGAATTTTCCTGAAAGGAAAATGCATCCTGGCTGGTAGGGAGTTTTTTCACCGCACAGAGCAGTCTGGGAGTAATTCAGAGCACCTGCTTAAGGCTCCTGATCTGAATCTCCCTCTGAGGAAATGCCTCTGTCTTCATGGATTGGACAGGTAGCTTAGAGAAACTGGCTGGTGAAGCGAGGAGCATCAGCCTGTACAGCATGTTTATCCTCTTTTCCTTTGTATACAAAACTTTCTGCAAAACAGGAGGAAACAGGAGAAACTTGTTTAAAATAAACATAACTACTGCTTTTATACTCTTGCTTTTTCCAAGGGGAACTGCAATGGTTACAGACTTTGCTGGGGCAACAGACCTATTTTGTGCTAGCATTTCTTTTTCTGATAAGTCAAATGCATAGATTACTGGTTTTGAATCTGAGACATTTTGTA